TTCTAAAAATCAATCAAAATAATTCACGATTTGATTATATTTACTCTATAAAAAATTTAAACTAATGCATTACAATAAACAAACTAAAATTTGAATTACTCATAAAATACGAATCGATAAGCATCAATAATTACTAAAATTCCCATATTAATTAAATACATCCCTATAATATAATTTTCTCGTAAAAATAAAAAATTAATTAATTACATTAATAAGCACTTGAGCTCCTTCAAATGTTAAAGTGGCAATATTAAATGAAATTACATATTTTACTATCTTAAAACGTTGAATAATAATTTCATTAAATACATCAAATTACATATTTATTAAGAGGAATGATTAATTTATATAATATAAAAATTTTTATTATATATATATATATTTTTTAATTTTTTATTTTAATAGATTCAAAAGATGAAAAAAAAAACAAATAAAAAAATTTTGTTTAATTTCATCATTTGGATTTATTAAAATCAATGATTAAAAAAAATGTAAAATTAAAAAAATTTTACATTATGTAAATTGATCCCTCCTTATTTTTAATTGACATTTAAAAATTTTTATTTATAATTTTTAACTTGTTAAATTATTTATATTAAAATTTCATAAATTTGGTGTACCATGCATCAGACGTTATTAAGCTAGTTGGTAAAGTATGCTTTGGTTATCCCTTACAATTTAGGTTAGAACTTAGAACTACAATGACTAATGTCTAACTGAAATTGTAAAAGAGAATTTCCGGTCCTCTCAATTCCTCCTCAGCCTCTATCCAACCTAGTCTCTCTTCCCCAAATTCCTAACATAATATTAGTAGTAGGGTTAAGCAAAGAAACTGGGAGCATTTTATGGTTCAAAGGACAAATTCGTTTTTTGGCTGTAGAAAGTTGGTAAAATTTTAAGGGTATTTCAGATTTTTGAATTAATTTGACGTCGATTTAATTTTTGGAGGCTAACTTCGATAATATTAATAGATTGAACGATTCGTTTATTTATATAGTATAAAATATTAAAATTTATATATTTATATTATATTTTATATAAAAATTATATGTCATAATTTTAGTGAATATAATTATTTTTAACTTTAAAATAAAAACGTTAAAGATATCTTTAACCTGTATTTTTAATCGACTTTTAATTTTGTAATTTCAAGTTTCTATGCTCTGATCCAAATTTAGTGCAAAAACACAAACATTTTATTGAAAACCCTTTTTCTCAAATAAGCATAGAAATTATGTCTATCAAAGGTAATTACTACTTTAGGTTGCTCTGGCATCTTCAATGATTTTTTGTAAATCAAATAGTCGGATTTGTGTCATTCATCTTTTGTAAAAGCTTGGAAGGTCATTTCATAAAAATTACTGTTCGATCTTAAAGCATAATTTAATTTATTTATACGATTATTTTTTTAAAAAATAATATTTATTAATTTTAAATTTTAAATTTTAATATTAACAATTTTTTTATATTAAAATTACGGCATTTTTTTTGTAAAAAATAAAATAAAAATTATTGCTTTCCTTAACCTTTCCTCCATTATCACATAAAAGAATGTTTTTTTTTTTTTTCAACCAAATCATTCAAAAGTTGCTTTTTTAATTAACAAGTGATTAATTTAATCAATTAAAATTATTTTTTTTCGACAAAGAGATTTTAAATATGAGTCAAATCGAAAATTGTTTGTTGGAATCATATTAAATGTACGATTTACAACTAACTATCTTAAGCTGTTAGATTTCATACATCTTATCTTGACTTGAAAGATTAAGCAACCTATTTATCACAATTTTTTCTTACTAAAAAAATTTTTTTTTTCCTCTGTCATAACTCTTCCGGTCATCTTTATAAATACTAACATTCTCCATTGGTCTTATGCTTTCACAAGGCTCTTGTGATCACCGCTATAACATTATCACACCTTTTAGTTATTTATTATTATTATTATTTGTTTTAATTTAAAAATTTTTTATATTCAATAATTATTTTAAATCTCAATTAATTCAAAATTAAATTAAATTGGATCTCATAAAAAAATAAATTTTTTCAACATTTATTTTTTATTTATAAAATTCAAAATTATAAATTTATTTATAAAAAATCAAACTCCTTGATCATTTAAACTAAAAGAGATCGATTATTATTATTATTATTTAATCTTTACAATGGAAACATGACGCCAAAAAGACTGATTCAATGACGCAAGAATTTGAAGAGATACATAAAAATTTGTCATTAAGGAATAGTTAAGTTTTTTCGCAAGATGGGATGCCCTAAAATTTTTATTCCCAATAGAGGCACCTTTAAAATTTTTTTCCTTAAATAGGGTATTTTAAGCCATATCCACTTCTATCACTTCTATCATTGTTAGGGATAATAACATGTTGGATAGTGAGTTTTTATTTATTTCAAATCTGATCCGATTTTATATCTGTAAAATTTGAATTTAATTTTACCCAAAATTTTTTATTTTTTTAATATTTGAAGTCAAATTCAATCTGAATTGAAATTAATAAAATATTATTTTTTAAAATATAAATATTTAAATATATAATTATATAAAATATATATAAATAAAAATTTAATTTAAAAATTATTTTTATATAATATTAGGTCGGATCGAATTTATTTAAAACTCGAATTCGAATCCGATCTAATCCCAAATTCGATTTTCAAAAAAAAAAAATTAATCTTATATAATCGGGTGGATTGAATTGCCCACCCTATTCATTGCTAAGTGGCCAAATTTCCAACGTGGCATGAAGTTATTATTTATTCATTTTAGTTTTCTTTTTTCTTTATATTTTCGTCTCCTTTCCATAGCACTATGACCAAAGCAGAACCGATGTCAACACAGAAAGACAACAATAGTGTGATGGGGCAAGATGAAGTGCATCCAAATCTGCTAAAGCTGCAAAAACAGCCAACAAAGTGACTCAATTAAGCATTATTTTCGTTTCTTTTATCTCTATAAACAATTTAACCCCTTTGGCTTCTCAAACAACACAAACTGAACATACTCATGTTCTGTAATCATCAATGTCCATGACCAAAGGATCATAAGAATAAACCATAAACTCCCTCAAAATCTCATATTTTCACCAACTCAGCAATCATTTTATTTCAACTTAATCAAACACTATCTCAGCAATACCAGTTTTTTCACAGAATCCATAAAAATTAATTCAACAATTGAAACCCAAGTTCCTGCAAGATTCATGTATACTTCATCATGATGGTTTTCAAAAATAATGAGGCAAAATGATTTCATTCCATGAAAAGGGTCTGTTCTGCTCAAGAATAGCTGCCTACTGGTTTTACATCCCTTCTATCCATCTTTTTATGAAAAGCATGGCTTATCATGATTCAAGGCTTCTGTAACCAATTCCATACAGTCAACAAACCACTTGCATCCCCTGTGAAAAAAAGGGGAAATGGCCCTCTTTGAATCGCTCTAGCTTCTTGTTTCGAAAATAACCTGCCTCTCTTAGGCAACAATGGCAACTCATATAGGTTAACAAAAGTGCTTGTAGAAAAGAAAAGAAAAAATTAAAATTAACTCAACTGCCATGTTGGCAATTTAACCACTTAGGTAATTATGTATAATTTACATGGCTTAAAGTACTCCATTTAAGTAAAAAAAAAAAAAAAGAACCTATAATTGAGAATAAAAATTTTAACGTACCTCATTTTGAGAAAAAACAAACCCTTTCATATAATATCCTTTCAGCAGTTCAGACAAAAATAGCGGAGTGATAAAGAGCTAAGTAATTAACAAACAAACATGAAATTATGCTTCATTTAAGTATTTTTCCCAACTACAATCCAAAGGGAATTTCTTGTGCAACCCTCCGACCAAAATTAAATAATAAGTTCTCATTGTCTACAAGAACATTTTGCTTGTTGATTCCCATAGGAAACTCAGTCAATTACAGCTTCGTACAAGGAACAAGCTCCATCCTGCCCACAGGCTGCCCTGAAATCCGGAACCAAGAGTCTGTCAGTTCCAAATGATACAAAAATATGTAACAAACTGGACGGGGAATCCAATGAAGCTGAAGGCAAAAAAACTGTCAGTGTGTTACTATCAATTTACCATGTTCTGTAATAACAGGTTGATTAACAGTATATGATCTTTACCTCTTTCACAGAAAACAAAAGCTCAAAGGAATTTCCGGACAGTTTCCTTTTAGGTATACTGAACATAGTTTGTTATGCGTTTAACTTGTCTGTTATTTTAATGCCATGGCCAACAGTCATAGTAAACTTTTACTTACAACAGGCATTTTCTCTTTTTTTTTTTTTCGTTGGATTTTATTTAAAATTTCTGGCCTCCAACTGGAACCGTGTTTAACAGTATTCGAGTTTGACAGTTTAACCTGTTTAGACAGCTACTGTTCATGACGTTTAAAGGTGATGACTTCAAAGTTATAAATATAGCAGTAGAATTTATTTTGCCACCATGGCAATCTGGCAATTTGATCACTGTACAACAATCGATGTTCTTGACCCTATCATGGATGACACGTATTGGGTAGTTGTATGAACCATCAGGCACCAATATTCCGTGGACTGAACTTATGAATCGGTTGAGGTTTGATTTTGTAATGGTTAATCAGAAGTTCACAGCTTGCTGAAAAAAAAAAAGGGGAAGACTTACCATAGGAAAAACTAGCAAAAGACAAACATCTCTCAAAATGGCAGCATATGTTTGACCTTACTTGATGCATAACCGATATTGGGAAGCAAATTTGAAATGAATAAACAATCCATTTTTTTCATATACATATATTGGGGCTCGAATAACAGAATATGGACACATAAAATTTGTATTCACATTGCAAATTTGCCTTAATTGCTCATAGAGATCATCGACACCCTTGTTTCGACTTGATGAATAGTTCCTACAACAGTAACGAAACATAATGACTCCAAAATTGATAAGCACATTATATATACATGAACTCTTATTCTCTATGGGTCAAGCAGCGATAGAAAGAAAAACCAGCAAAAGAAATAAGAAAGGAAAAAACAATCAAGGTAATAAGAGATGGAAATGACGATGGTTAAGGATGAACAGTGCCTAGGAAGGCGCCGAATGTGCTCAGCAGATGGTGAGGTTCAAGCAGTAAGGTGTGTCAAGAGAAGGCGAAGAGATCCAGCTTCAGTTGCACTAGGCTGTGATGACAACCAAGATCAGCAACGACAGCAACAAAATGAACAAACCAATGGTGCTACCACTGTGAAAAGAAGTTCAAGGTTTCGTGGAGTCAGCAGGTGCAAAACAGACCTCTCTAGTATTCTGGGATTGTTTCATCCCCCCTTCTTTTATTTCTCTATGGCTAAGTTTTATTATTATGAAAATGAACAGGCATAGATGGACTGGCCGGTATGAAGCCCACTTGTGGGATAAGCTCTCCTGGAATTTTACACAGAAGAAGAAAGGGAAACAAGGTAACCTTTGTTTCTTTGTTGCATTTCCCTTCTCTTCATTATAATTTTCAATTCAGGATGCTTATATATTGTTGCATGATTTTATGTTCTTCCATTCACTCCTCCTGTGGAATTGAAACTTGGGGATCCTGCAGTTTATCTTGGTGAGTGCATCAGTGCTAATTCAAGTTTCACTTTCCTACATATATCCCCCCCCCCCCCCCCCCAAAGGTAAAAAAATTCTTTCTATACCATAGAGAAATGAAAATATTATTTTTTCTAAATTTTCAGGAGCTTATGATGATGAAGAAGCTGCTGCAAGAGCATATGATTTAGCTGCACTTAAGTATTGGGGGACATCGACATTCACCAATTTTCCGGTATGCATACCTCATAATCTCATTTAACAAACATGATGACCTTCTATTAGTTTGAATACACAGTAATAAAAGTACTATGTGAGCAACTGATCTAACTCCCTTGATGATTTCTGCAGATATCAGATTATGAAAAAGAGATTGAAATAATGCAAACTGTCACAAAAGAAGAGTACTTGGCCTCATTAAGAAGGTAAAGGCTTTATATATCAAATCACAGACTGATATAATTATCTAAAGGCTATTGTCACTAAAAAATATCAATTGGAATTACTTTGTTACAGAAAGAGCAGTGGGTTTTCAAGAGGTGTATCCAAGTACAGGGGAGTTGCAAGGTACTTTTCTTGATAATCTGGTGAATAATATCTGCATTTTTTATGCAAAAGCCAATAAAACTAAAGATTTCTTTGGATAAAACATGCAGGCACCATCACAATGGAAGATGGGAAGCAAGAATAGGGAGAGTCTTTGGAAACAAATATCTCTATCTTGGCACTTACAGTAAGTTTCTATACTTTCCTTCCTGTGTTAAATATGGCAGCCTTTTTCAACCATGGATAAAAGGATACAAACTATATTACAATTAAAAGGAGTTTTATTTTCCTAAACAAAATGTTTATCTCATTTGCAGGCACCCAAGAGGAGGCTGCTCGTGCTTATGACATTGCAGCAATTGAATATAGAGGGACAAATGCTGTGACCAACTTTGATTTGAGTACTTATTTCAGATGGTTAAAACCAGGGACAAATAATCTAGTTGCTGCTAATGAATCACTGGCAATGACAGAACCTGAATCATTGCAATTAACAAGTAGCTACAGTCCAAGAGAGGAATCCAAGCCCTCATTCCACCACTCTTTTGCAACAGATTATTTGAACTCTCCACAAAAGCAAGAAGTTCTTGAAACCAAACTCCCTTTCAACTCATACAACAAGTCTTCTTCATCACCAACTGCCCTAGGTCTGCTCCTTCGATCTTCGATATTCCAAGAACTGGTAGAAAAGAATGCAAATGTGTCTGAAGATGAAAGCAGTACTGATACAGTTGATGAATCAAAGAACCAACAAGCAGGAAGTGATGATGAGTTTAGTGGGCTGTTTTATGATGAAACTTATGACTTCCCATTTATTTGCTCTTCTGGTCAAGATAACATAGAATTGCAAGAAAGAGCTTTCCCACTCAGTTTCTGATCTACCAAAAGAAAAAAGGCCAAGAATATGTAGATTGCATGGTTTAGAAAGGTAGGTAAGCATAGCTACTGCTTGCATTGTGGATGCTTGTAAAATATGCAATGTTGTAAATTATACTCGTAAAATCTACAATTTCTTTTGAAAAAATATGAGTGTTGGTAGCTGTTGTTTGAGTTTGTGAATTTGTAATATATAGGATTCAAAAATGAGTGTAGCATAGCTGCATAGGTGGAATAGGGAGAGGAATTTGGGAATATATATACTCCCTCTTGAACTATAAAAATATATATTTTACTTGAATGCATGGTATTAAGTTTGTATGCACAATCTATAAACTGTTTTACTAATTTGTATGTTATTTTTGAAGAAAATGAAAAAAAAAAAGAAGAAACTTTTAAAATTTTTGTTTATTTCTTAAATGTGAATATACAGATTTAAATAGTTATTATGAAAAAAAAATTCATTTTAAATATGTTAAGAGATAGCTCATTATTGTGAATATATAATCATTATTATTGTTGTATTTGAGATTCTTAGAGATTAAAATTTGATCGTTGAAATTAAAAATAGAGTCGTGGTTATTATTATTTTATATTTAAGACATACATTTGTATAAAGTTTATAGAAAATTTTGTTATAAACATTAATGAAATGTAAAGAAAATTATTAAAAAAAATCAAATCCAAATAGTAAAAATGGTTGGAGTGACATTAACAAATCGAAATAATTAAAAATTTTCACTTAATCTAAAATTTCTTATGAATATAATGATTAATTGCATAATTTTGACATATTTTTTCTTTTGAGTTAACCTCAATCTCTTTATAATTATTTAACTTTAGGCTAATTAAAAAAAATTATATTTTCTCTGTCTCAAATTATTTGAACGTTATTAATTTTTATGAAATTTGAAAAAAAAGTTAAATTTAATATATTTAATATTAAAATTTAAATTTTCATGATTTTTAATATCAAAATTTTTTTTAAAAAAATAAAATTAATTTTAAAATATAAAAAGTAAGAGTTTTATGTTAAAAATGTATATAATTTTAGAACATTTAGAAAAAATAGACAAAGGAAATGAAATGGTGGAGTTATATATTTAATTTTAGAAATTATGTAAAAAGAACAAATTTGGAGGATGATTTCGTAATTTCATATTAACCTATGTTACAACGCGGATCTCATCTAAAGTCTCCTTTCTGAAATCTGAACTGTAATTTCCAGGCTCCCTTCCCTTCCCATCACAACAAATCATCCCAAAAAATACATTTCCCCATTTTCCCAAATCTACATCTTTAGGGTTCCGTTTTGAACTTCCGATTTCCAAATTCAGATCTTAATTGTTCAAATAAACAACAAAAGAACCAGAAAATGTACGGATTCGAATCTATGACATTCAACATCCACGGCGGTTACTTGGAAGCGATCGTGAGAGGTCACAGGGCTGGACTCTTAACCGCCGCAGATTATAACAATCTTTGCCAATGCGAAACCCTTGATGATATCAAGATGCATCTCTCCGCCACCGAGTACGGCCCTTACCTCCAAAATGGTACGTTTCTCAGTTCCTATTCCCCCACCTTTCACATGATCTTCAATTTAATTGCGTTTTCAATTTCAAATATACTAAGATAATAAATTGATTTTTATTTGAACTGAGTCGAAATTGAAATTGAGCATTTTTTTTTAATTTTGATTATAACACTTGCTGATGCTTTGCAGAACCTTCACCATTGCATACGACTACGATTGTGGAGAAGTGCACTCTTAAACTTGTTGATGAGTATAAGTATATGTTATGCCAAGCTACCGAGCCATTGTCCACCTTCTTAGAGTATATCACGTATGTAAAGATTTGTCCTTTTTGTTTCTTTGTTTGAATTGCTTGAGAGATGTGGAATTATCCTGCGGTTAGATCTAGCCATGGCATTGATTTATTTCACATCTTATGATCTTGCTTTGATTTAATTGAATATTAGCAGTGTTGAGCTTTTTTAGTAACATTAGTTTGTTTTTAGAACTAGGCATAAAGTGCTAAGTGTTAATTCAGTATCATCTGGTAGTTTTGATTTGGTGGCGTGAATTATGCACATCCTTATGCTGCTTATGCAGTTCTGTTAACTATTTAGCCTGAAAGAACAATATGATCTTATATTCCCTTAAAAGTTAGATGCGGTTTGTTCCCCTCATCCCATGATCTGGTTAATCAAATTTAAGATCAAGTTGAAATATAGCTGCCTGAATGGTTGGTCTTCTTTGAGTTGTCTTGATGGTATATGGAAACCTCTCTGTTTAGAGGGTGTAGAAATGCAGTTTGATTAACAGGTTTTTGTGGATTTAGCACCAGCCAAAGAAAAACTTATGTTTTGATTGTTCCATTTAGATATGGTCACATGATAGACAATGTTGTCTTGATTGTTACTGGAACCTTGCATGAGAGAGATGTTCATGAGCTTTTGGAGAAGTGCCATCCTTTGGGCATGTTTGACAGGTAATCTGCCCCTAGATGTAGATCAGGTTATTATCTGACCTCTCATAATACATATGCTCACTTTTCTTTTTTGCTGCTTCAGCATTGCAACCCTGGCAGTTGCTCAGAACATGCGTGAACTTTACAGATTGGTTCTTGTTGACACTCCACTGGCTCCATACTTCTCTGAGTGTATTACCTCTGAGGTATAGGGTTATAACAACTTTTCTGATATTTTTTCATCATATTAATTGTCTCTGATTCTCTTTCTGTATCTCTCTCTTTTTAAGCATGCATGTCAGATTGTTAGTAGCTGTGCTTTAGTGTTGTTTTTTTTTAATGATTTAATTTTTTAAACCTTTGATTCTTGGATTCATTCATCTTGGCTTTTTCCAGGATCTTGATGACATGAACATTGAAATTATGAGGAACACTCTCTACAAAGCATACCTTGAAGACTTTTACAAGTTTTGTCAGGTAAGGTTCTAATACAGAAGAATGGCTTTTCTTTTTCATATGGCATATGCTAGTTGTTTCCATTCTCTACTTCCATGTTAAGGTAAACATTCCTTTTTCCTATAGAAACTTGGTGGTGCGACAGCAGAGATCATGTCTGACCTCCTAGCATTTGAGGCTGACAGAAGGGCTGTAAATATTACCATTAACAGGTACTGTTACTTATGGAAAGGGTTTACTTCCTAAAGGTTTCTAGTTTTAGTCTTGTTACTTTCTTATTTTCTAATAAACATGTTTGGTATGGTTTACTTTTTGCAGCATTGGCACTGAACTTACTCGTGATGATCGTAGGAAACTATACTCGAATTTTGGTTTGCTGTAAGCTCTTTCTCTCAGGCCTGATTATTCTTCTTTGCTTTTGGTAATAGGCTCTTTTGAGTGTTTGTTTCTGACATTGCTGCTTCATGTTAAACAGATATCCCTATGGTCATGAGGAACTTGCTGTCTGTGAGGATATTGACCAGGTTCGTTTCACATGTTATGTTTGCTTAGATGAAGTTACTTCTAGTTCTTAGTCTTTTGCTTGGTTTGCTGTCTAGGTTCGTGCTGTGATGGAAAAATATCCTCCCTACCAATCAATTTTCTCTAAATTATCTTATGGAGAGAGCCAGATGCTTGACAAAGCATTTTATGAGGAGGAAGTGAAAAGGCTCTGCTTAGCTTTTGAGCAACAGGTTTATACTTGATTTCTCTGGCTTCAATGATCTCTGTAATAATAGTAAACAAAGAAAAGCACAGCAGCGGCGTGTGCTTGATTTTATTTCTGTTGTTCCCTCCTTTCTTCATCTATGAAATAATTTATTGAATTTTCTCTGATTTGCTTTTCTTTGGACGATGACCTGCAGTTCCATTATGGTGTTTTCTTCGCATACATGAGATTAAGAGAGCAGGAGATCAGGAACCTGATGTGGATCTCCGAATGTGTGGCTCAAAACCAAAAGTCCAGGGTTCATGACAGTGTTGTCTTCATATTTTAGATGATCCCGACTCGGTTGGTAATAATTAATCGGATTGCCTTGTGCTTAATAAGCTGTAAATTGTCTTAATTCCCCACCCACATTTTCATTGGAGTGGTTTAGCTGCTCTTTTTGCAACATTTGTCTGTTCAATAATTAACGCCTTTATATATGTTTCATGTGTTAATTGAGGATAAAAAGTTGTATTAAGATTGATTAAAATGTGTACCTTGAGGTTGTTTTCAATATTTTAATGATGGAATTTCCAGGAAATTTCCCATTATAGTATCTATCTATACTTTTAGTTGTAGGTTACTGATTATATAAGGTTTGTATTTGTCATTTTTGGTGGTCGATGTTCTCACTCATCTACATCTTATTATTCATCCTAATTTTTTTCCAAAGTATCTTTTGCCAAAGAATGATATGATACTCACTTTAACTCATGCAATATATTTGATTTGTATCATATAAAATATTAATAATTTATATATTTGTATTATATTTTATACGAATTATATGATATAATTTGTATTGATACAAAAATTAAATATATATTTTTTATTTTTTAAATTTATATATAACTTTTATTAAAATTTTAAATTATATTATTTTTATGTTTTTCGGAATTTTCAAATCATGTCATCAGGTTCTATATTAATAAATTATTATGTTTATATTTGACTGTGGAAATCTTCCGAATGCTTCGTATCCTTTCTGGACTGATTATTGTCTCAGTTGGCCTGCATATTGCGGCTATGCGTATGTGAAGCGAACAAGCTCAACCGCACATAGAATCTTGTCCCTAGTATATTAAAATACGTTAATTAATGCAAGAGTTCCTTTTTACTCAATATCATTCAAATTTTTTAACTAAAAAAATTAATTTAGATCTTTTTTTTAAATTTATTTTAAAAATGTATATCATCTTATTAATAGGCATGAAAATCTAAAATCTGTACATTTTACTAGAAAATCTACAATTTTATCTCATAGTTCCAAATAACATTAGCAAATACTTAAAGAAATTTAAATTGTAAAAGATTTTAATTTAATTTTTCTAGAAAATAGAAATTGATTCATAAAAAATAGAAAAAAAAGCCTCGAATTTTTGTTTCCTTTTATGGCCATTGGAGAACAGCTTCACTGAGAAGTTGAAGGTGCAATAAAAAGATCCTTCTTTCTTTCTCTAATTTTTATTGGAAAAATCAGAATAAAAGGAAAATGGCGGAGCCACCAGCTTCACCACCGCAATCGGCAACAACAGCGGCCCCGGCGGGGACCATAAAGATCACCAATTTGGATGAAGACTCATTGGCTCATTGCGCCACGCACCTTAGCCTTCAGGACCTCTAAAACCTCGCCATGACCTCCAAATTTCTCAAAAATGTGGCTTACTCCGACTCGATCTGGCTCCATCGCTTCGGGTTTCGTTTCTTGAAAATGTTTATATAATTCGCTTTCAGAACGAAAAATAAAAGTTATTTCTTTTCAGAAATTTTATTTTGAGGCAATTATTTTGCAGGCTCGAATTTCATTTTCTTTATGTCAGTAAAATTGGATTGAAAAAAAATAGATTGAATTTAATAAAGAAAGTTAGTGGGAACTGTAATAAGATAATTCAAGAATATATTAATATATTAATATTTTTTCTTTTCCGTCGGATTTAATTATTATATTTGATTGAATTAGGGAGCGTTGGCCACTAGACATGCTATCTAGCTCTTCATCGGGAGCGAGGAAGGCCTATTTGGATTGGTGTACCGCGTTGCATCAGCTTAAATTTGCTGATCCTTTTGTTCTAGACTTGTCTACTGAAGCAAGGCATTTCGACCGTATACTTCTGGATGCTTTTGCATTTGCTTGTAGACCTGATAATTCGTGTTATCGTGTCATATAAAATATTGTATTCGTATCATTTTATTAAACCTATTTCTGGATTTTATAAAATTTTAAGTCATGTTATTTTCATGTCTTTGATTCGTATCGTTTTCGTATCATATCACCGTGTGTTTCAAATTGCCAGGTCTATTTAGCCGCCATTGGAAAGCTTAAGTAAGTTTGTTTGTTTGCTAGGGTTCTATTATAAGAATGATGAAAATCGACAGCTTTTTGATTGGAGGCTCGCTTGTGAGAATGAGTGATCATAATGCAAGAATTACATGCATGAGTGAGTCAATCTGATGGGTTTCCTTGTATAATAATTTGACCTTGTCTTTGGTTTAATCTCCGGCAAATGCTAATGTTACTTGTCTCTTCATATTATTGCATATTTTGGCAAATTGCATTTACAAATATGGAGCTTGATTTTCTTGATTAAAGTTTGGCATGTATGAGTACTAAAAAGTTTACATTGCTAAAGCAATGTGCTTATTTACATACGAATGTTTCATGGATATCAGGCATTAAAAGGGGGTATATCCATATGGAAAAGCTATAGCTGTTTTTAATATATGAGATGATTGTTCTGCAGTTGTTTCCACTTGATGAAAATTCTTTAGTTCAGAGTGAGACGCAAAGAGAAGAAATGTTTTGGTAACCTCAAGTTATGACCACTCTAATTCGTCTATGGTGGAAGGTATTGCACCAAGCATTCTTCGGCTTTTGCATTTCAACAGAGTCAAAATCATTCACCTTGCTTGTGATTCCTTGCATGGGATTGAATAGAAGGGCATACATATTATAAGCTGCTTCAGTTGGTTGTGCATTATTATCTGTGTTGTGTTTTGGAGTATGAATAGAATGCAAAGCCTATCTTTTCCTTAGCCTCTGTTACTTGTTAAAACATCCTGTTTGCATGTCTTGTTTGTAGGGCGCTTGCCAAAGGTGTTTTATAGGTCATAATGGTGCAGTTTCCACATTGTCAGACAAATTATTAGGTGATGAAGGTGCCAAAGTATTGGCAAGCAGTGGGGAAGATGGTACTGTTCGCCTCTGGTCCCTTAGTTCTAGTGGAAAACATGGCCAAAAAGCTTTAAAGGCTATGCTTTATGGGCATGAGAAGCCTGTTATGTTGATGTTAGTTGCAGGGCATGCATTTTTTTCAGTAAGAAAACTCTCTTGTTTATTTCTTGTCTGTCTTATAACAACACTTCGAAAATTTGAGTTTTATATCTATATTTTCTTTATTTACAATCCATGGTTGATTTGTTCATCATTTTTCCAGGCACAAAACTTCCTTTTGGTCACCATGTCAAAGGATTCTAAGGTATCTTGTTGACCTTTCTTCTTGAACATTCATTTCTTAACATCACCTGATTTTCAATTTTCATGTTTCTGTTTAGAGATTTTGGAACAGTTATAGTACTATTTCACCATTCTGGGGTTTACAGGTGAGAGTTTGGGATACAAGTACATCATCAGCTATTCGTTCTTCATGTTGTGTGGGAATGGCTTCTGTTGCTGGTGCACCTGTGGACATAAATGCCATGAAGCCTTGCTCTATGTTGCTGCTGTTCTTCTCTAATAATTGTTGACTTAAGGACAACGCGAAAGGTTAACTCTGCGGCAATATATCCACCAAAATTGTACCTCTTCGCAATTATGCCCTCAAAATCCCTAATCTGCACCAGTGGATTTGGCAAGTAAGACATTTTCTTGTGATGAATTCATTGGCTTTTAATTTTCCCTTTATCATGGTATTATTTCCTAGTAATGGAAGTGTTAATGAAACAGTTTGTACTTAAGAGGATTGTTTTCTTTCTTTCACCCTATGAACTTTGATATTTAAGTGCTGCATTTTAGACAATGAATTAAACCGTTTTCTGGGTATATATGGCTTGCAAACCAACTTCCCTCATTTGCTATTGTGAAAATTTTCTATTAACAACAGATAACTTTCATTCATCATAAGTACGTCATTTTTTATGCAAAGTTTTCCATTTGTTGAAAATAGGTTTTAGTAGGAATTTCAGGTTGTTTAATCTCAGAAAGTGTACATTTAATGCGCAGAGCAATGCTTTGGGATTTCAGAAGAAGCCAGGAGATTTCAAAACCAGAACCAGTAACTCAGTTGGATGGTCATATGGGTTCAGTGACACTATTACACGTGGATCCATATAAAATTTACAGGAGAGCTGGTGGATAACTTTATTACTACTTGGGAGATTGACACTGTTACAAGAACAGATTCTTTGCTTTGTAATCGTCCAGAGCTGGGAAGCACCAATATTGGGTGTTCAGCCATGGCCGTAATGCATGTAGAATTGCTACTGCCAATTATGGTGAAAATCAGGGACTTGTCCGCTTTCGGGATTTCTCCAGAGCAACTCATCCGATTTTCGAATATGATGATGAAAATGAGGATGTTTCCAAATTCTGGGGTACACAATCATATGGTGATTCTGACTGATCCAATGAATGATTAGCTTGCATCTCTATTCTTTACGCATGATCTTTTGACTTTTGTATATAAATTTAGCTGCTATCCGATCCTTGGGTAATAAGGATATAGATGAGTATTATTTCTTTGCTTTTGTTCTTCTTTTTCCAATATTCTTTTAGCAAGAAGATTGTAAGTTTGTAACATTAAGGTCCTTTATTGTTTTATGCATAGTTATATGAAATTAAAAAAAAAATTAATGAGGTTTCCTATTGTTTGGTTGAATGTCTCACCTGCCACCTTTAGTAAATCTTTCACTTATGGATAAAAAAAAATCCTTTTTACTTTGTATGCTACCAACTAAACATCTAAACCCTTGAGAAATTGGCAATCTGACTGAAAACTGGTTTCAATCCGGGGGCAAATCGGAAATAGAGCATTGGGGTTTGGAAATTAGTCTACTCAACTCTAATTATGCTCACCAAATCAATGGATGTATGTTGAATTGATAGAGTATTAAATTTTTAATTTTAAAATTATCCAAGCTCAAAATAATCTGTTAAACTCAAATTTTGCTCCTGACGTCAAAGAAATGTGATTTGTTCGATTGAATTTTTAATTTTAATAATTAAAATTTAAATTTGGGCAAATTTAAATGGACTAATGTAATGGAGTGGAAAATTTAAGATTAGCCACCACAATATCCAAAGATAGTAATTATAGATTAGGGCCGTCACATGCTCCTCTGGGCTTTGTTTTTGGGTTGTCATGTTGAAATGCTGTTTACTTCACTTCCTCACTGCTACAAACTACATTTGAGTTCCTCACAGTCAGAAAACCGATCAAAACGCTAGCACTAATCGATCATATAGGATGAAATAACGATTCTTCCAAGTTTCACCACCCAAGAAATAGAAAATGCCCACCTTCAGCACCACCATCGTCCTCCTGATCCTCTTCCTCTCCACCACCACTTGCCCCATCAGCTCCGCCCCCGTCCCTGGCCTAGACTCCTTCCTAACCCAACAATCCCACCTCGACCCCAAAGCTACAATCGATCCTTTTCTATCCCTCCCTTCCTCCGTCAAGAAATCCCTTGCCTCCTCCTCCTCTGGCCCTCTCCCCATCTCTTCCCTAATCTCCAACCTCCTTTCCATCACTCTCCCAATCCCTCTCCACATCCGCCTTGTAGGCTCCGACTTCTCTTCCTCCTCCCCTTCCCTCCTTACTTCTTTCCTCCAATCCTCCATTACGTCTTCCCACTTCCACCTCATCTCTTCTTCTCTCTCCTCCCACTCTCTTTCGGTCAGCCACTCTCTCGACCTAGACATCTCCCTTTCTTCTTCCTCCCTCTCCTCTTCCCTCTCCGCCGCTGTCTCATCCGTCCTTGCCTCAACTGCTTCCTCCCTTCGTTCCCCTCTCCTTTCCATCCCATATTCCGCCATCGACCCCATCATTTCCAGCCATTTCGATTCCGAGAAAACCGACAACTCCGTCTATATTTACATTCTCCATCTGGGCGTCACGTCAAAGCAACCTTATGCTTACTCCTATACTCATTCTGACTCTTCCGCTGGCTACACGAATTGCTTAGGGACCCTTTGGACTGGCAAAAAAAGGTATCTTTGGATAGATCTCGGGGCTGGTCCGGTTGACTATGGACCGGCCATATCTGGTGATGGGTTACTTCCGAGAGGTGAGTTTCACCCTTTAGCGGCGTTACATGGAAGACCTAAATCGGAAAGGGCCTTGCTTACGGAGTTGGCTTCTTTGATATACAGTGCTTATCAGGTACTTGTTGTTCCTCCTTTGAGAATTCCTGTGTATTTTGAGAATACTTTAACTGTTCAGCTTATTCATGTTCACACATCTGAAAGTAAGGATTTAAGCGGTCTGGATTGGAATGAGATTGAAAAAACGTTTCGTAATGAGGCAAATGATGGTGAGTTGTTGTTCGGCAATCAGAGTCTGGAGTTTAAGAGGTATAGCGTTAGGTATGAGGAGTGTTCAATTTGTTCTTTTGCCGTTTCTAGGTCGATCAACTCTTATACTTCCAGGTTTCTCTTTGATAATTATACTTTGATTGTGAGTGAGTATTTGGATTCGAAACGTTTGCATCAAATATTGTCTGATTCGGCTGAGGAGTTTAGGAGGGTTGCAGGGTTGCCCGAGGAGGAATTTGGTAGTAGGGTACTTCCTGTTTATGTGTTTGATTTGGATTACAATACCATTTTGTTACTTGATCGGTATCATCAATCTGTTGCATTTAGAGATATGGTTATTGCTGTTAGGACAAAGACTGCTCAGACTGTGAGTGATTACAGTTGTAACGGTCGTCATGTTTTTACACGTACGAGGGAGCTGGAGAGGCCACTTGTTGGTTCAATTTTACAGAGTATGTGGGGAGTGTCGCCGACTCATTTGTTGTGGAGTCCTACGCATAATAGTACACTGGTGGATTACACATGGAGTGTTGGTCAGACACCTTTTGGACCATTTTCAGAGATTTCCTCACTGTCTTTTGTGCAGAAGGATGCAGCTCGGAGAAATTTTCTCTTGACATCATTGAATTACAGTATAACAAGTGCTATTGATGTTCTTGAATCAGTAGCTGCACATGGTGGGGATAGAAATCTCCTTAAACAGAATCAGCATGTTGAGTTCATACAAAGGTGGCACTTGTTGAGGTACAAGCTGGACAAAGCAGTTTCTGCTTTGTCACGTTTTGACTTTGATATGGCATTCTACTGCTTAAGGTCCTCAGATCATGATCTTTATGCAATTCACAATCTTGTGTACACTGCATCACAAGAAATTGAAGCATCGCTTGTTTGTTTCAAGGACCCACCATTTCCATGGGCTTCAGTATCATTTTCTGTGGTTGGTTTCCTTGCTCTCTCTTATGTTTATGCAAAAAGAGACAAACTTTTCAGAAATAAGAGGAAGCAGTTTTGAAAGTTTTAATAAAACAAAGTTTGTATCATTTGAACATACACATGTATTCCTGTGAGAGATGTAAGTCTCAAGATTGGAACTTAGTTTTACTCGAGAATTACTGAAATTTTAGGGGGAATTCTGCTTTATCACTTAAATTTTAACTGTATAATCTGTCAACTTATGCTGTATTTCCCTTGTATGCTGGATGAATGTCTATTTTATGCACTTGAAGTATTTTGTGGTATCTGTGATACCCCTCATTCTCTTCTTATCTGCTTGTTTCGATGTTTTTATTTTTGGAATGATGATAGACATCCATTGAGTAACCATGCATTTGCTCTTGAAGTTGTTCATTTGGATGGTTAGAAAATGTCAAGATTTGGCATGTGACTGACTTCCTTAAAAATACCCATTGAAAAATGCTACACACTTTTATAACCAGATAATGACTATCTATGTTACCATCTTTCTGGAACAGAAGTTTATAATTAGTGCTGATATGGAGTCTTATGGTGTAGGACATACCTATGAATCATATTGTTGAAATGGAATTTCAAATTTCAGCATGAAATATGTGCTAGGTATATTTTCTGCTGTTTTCTAGTTCAACAGACATTTGCACTTGGCAGATAAGTTAGCCAGTTTCTGGATTTGAAATGATCTAGTAACCCTTCTCTATTACTTCCTTAGGTGTTTAACGTAAGAACTTGTGAGTCAGCAATACTTTAGACTAGGGGCAGATACAAAAAATATTTGGATTTGTTATTTTGTCTTGTTGGAGACCCCAAAACCTTTTCACTCATCATCTATATGTCCATTTTTTTGTTCATTTGGTCATTCGTGCATGATCTTTGTTTGAGTTTCAATTATGCAGTTAACTTATGTTGCTTGGATTTGGGTGCATTTAATTTTATACCTAGTTTTTCCTTACACATGGAGGATCATACCTGATAAGAATAGCCCATTTTGAGGAGTCAGATATGCATCTCATACGGGTATTTTATGAAAATTGAAAGGTGTGAAGAGCAGCATAGGAACCCCCAGCACCAAACACCAATTCATAATTGCAAAAGTCTAGATATAAGTTGTATTGATTTTTTTGTTATTTTTAAAGTATGCAGCCAGAGCAATTGCTCCCGCATTTATGGCTGTTTGTTGGGGAGAATGTGTCACAAACTACCGTTGGCTCTAGCAATTATAATTGTATCGTGTATGTTGACAATGAAATTGATTTTAGCAACTGCTTGATTCATTACTCTGCAAGTTTTTTATTTATTTTTTTTTTTTGGGGGGGGGGGGGGTAGAGGGCGGGGAATGGATAGATATTTCTTGATCATTAGTTGTTCTGCAGACTTTTTTGCCTGCTTACCTATGTCAAAAACTTTGCATTTTGTGGTTTATGCCTCAATGTCCTGATGTCAGCTACATGAAGGTTAATAGCATACAACCCAGAGAATAGCCGATGTTGGTCTTCGTTTTGCTATAACACCTAATTTGTAATGGTTTATTTCTTTGTGCATTGCTGCTCGTGAAGATGGAAATCATGAATTATCTGTCAAAGTAGATAACAAAAACATTGCAGGCTGACTATCCTTGTAAAAGGGTTGCAAAACGAGCCCCGACCACCCCTCACCCTCTTTCTTTAGATCAGGGCTAGAGTGGGGAATTCAATCCAACCCTTTTGAGTTTGGTTGATATATGCACCAATTATCTGATGATAACATCCAAGTCCGAAAATATTTTTCCTCAAGATGCAATTGCAATGCTTGCAAGCACAAATAGTTCCTTCAGATTTCCAGCATAATGAGCCAAAGAGAACTCTAGTATAATAAGTTGGAGGTTGAAATCTTTATTACTAGTAATTAATTACTACTTTGCTAGTAAGCCTTTCTAGTTTGAATTTAAGAAGAAGATATCTGACGGCTTTCTTCAAAATTGTTGCAAGTTTCCTGTGTTTTCTTAAACCCTATCTTGGAACAAAAACCAGTTAGGCCTCAAAGTTAAGAATCTCATGTTTGGAACATGAAATATTATCATTTAAGCAAGCAAGACCGACCGTGATGCATGAGCTTTATCAAAAATTAGTCGAGCATCATTTACTAGGCCAATTGAATATCAAGACAAGGTTCCCCCCGGTTGGTACCCCTTGACTGGATAGTGCTACCAAGCACTTTCCGACCCTTTGGCCAGACCAAAATGATCTTGGACAAAGAGCACAACGACAAGTAGAACTTCACCAGGTTTTTTTATCCTCGTTCCGCACCTTCCACTTTTGACAAATAAGGCGATTCATTCCTCCGATTTCAAATAAACCAAAGCCCATGACCAATTGACCATGATAACAGATCACCCCAAAAGGCAAGCCATTATTTTTGTAGTTAATGAAAACCCAAGACTGCCAAGGCAGGAATGGACATAACCAAATGGCACCTGGAAGGAATCTGAAGTCAAGGAGATAACCAGACCCTTTTTCATTTGGTAAAAAGCTTGTAATTTTCATTTTTCAGTAAATTAGGATCCATCTTTTTGTATATGAAAGGGAGGGAACTTTTGATCCATTTATGCAAGGCATGTAACAATGAAAAATCAGCAGCAAAATTACATTCACAAATTTTCAAAACTGGGTTTTACCATGACAGTTTTCTCACCACAAAGCTCACCTCCTTGTACTCAAAATTTAGTACCATTGAAGAAGCTCAAAAAGTGTTCGATGAAATGCCTCAAAGAACTGTTTATCTCTGGAACTCAATTCTTAGAGCTTATTCTAAACAAAGTCAGTGGAACGAAACTTGGATTCTTTTCAAAAACATGATATCTGATGAAAAAGGGGAGAAAAATGAACCTGATAATTATACTCTGTCTATAGTTTTAAAGGCTTGTGCAGGATTGCAGTTGCTTGAACAAGGGAAAATGTTACACGGGTTTTTGAGGAAAAATGAAAATATTGGATTGGATTTGTTCGTGGGTTCTGCTTTAGTTGAGTTCTACTCGAAATGTGGCAAATTGGATGACGCTTTGAAAGTTTTTAAGGAGTTTGAGAAACCTGATGTTGTTTTGTGGACTTCAATGGTTAGTGGATATGAGCAGAACGGTTGTTTTGAAAAGGCTGTGGCTTTTTTCTCAAGAATGGTAGTGGAGGAGGGTGTTGATCCTGATCGTGTAACACTTGTTAGTTTAGTTTCTGCTTGCGCTAAGTTGATCAATCCTAAGCTTGGCAGGAGTGTACATGGTTTTGTCATTAGGAGAGGGTTTGAAAATGAATTATCTTTAGTTAACGCAATCTTGAATATGTATGCAAAGACAGGTTTTGTGAAAGTAGCAGAAAATTTTTTTAGGAGGATAGAAGGGAAAGATGTTGTAACATGGAGCTCAATGATTGGTTGCTATTGTCATAATGGGGCTGCTGTTGAAGCACTGCGTCTTTTCAATGAAATGATCACCAAAGGATGTCAACCTAATGCAGTTACTGTTGTTAGTGTACTACAAGCATGTGCAGTTGCTTGTGACATAGACGAGGGTCGGAGGATTCATGAACTTGCAACTAGGAGACGTTTTGACTTAGAAGTCTCAGTTTCTACCGCTCTGATTGATATGTACATGAAGTGCTTGTCACCTGATGAAGCTGTTAATGTCTTTAGGAAAATGCCTGGGAAAGATGTTGTCTCTTGGGTTGCTTTGTTAAGTGGGTATGCTCAAAATGGGATGGCTTACAAGTCTATTGGGATCTTCAGAGATATGCTGTCTAGTGGAATCCAACCAGATGCTGTTTCTATGGTAAAGATTCTTGCTTCTTCTTCAGAGTTAGGTATTCTTCGCCAAGCTGTATGCCTTCATGGTTATATCACTAGAAGCGGCTTTGATGGTAATTCTTTTATTGGGGCTTCTCTCATAGAGTTGTACTCAAAATGTGGTAACTTAGACTATGCAATAAAAGTATTTCGAGGAATTATAGACAAGGATGTTGTTCTGTGGAGTGCAATGATTGCTGGCTATGGAGTTCATGGACATGGGGGAGAATCGTTAAAGTTATTTGAAGAGATGGTCAAGAGTTCAACAGCTAGGCCTAACAATGTCACTTTCCTCTCTATATTATCTGCTTGTAGCCATGCAGGTTTACTCCTGGAGGGGATCGAAATATTCCATATGATGGTAAATGATTATGGACTGCATCCTGGTTCAGAGCATTATAGTATATTTGTTGATCTTCTTGGCCGTACAGGAGAGTTAGACGAGGCCATGGAAATTATCAATCGAATGCCAATTCCAGTTGAGCCTCATGTTTGGGGTGCCTTGCTTGCTGCATGTAGGACTCATCACAATGTTGAGATAGGAGAGTTGGCGGCAAAGAATCTTCTCTGCTTAGATTCTAATCATGCAGGTTATTATATTCTGTTATCTAATATTTATGCTGTTGATGGGAAATGGGGGAATGTGGCACAAATTAGAACTCTGATAAAGGAGAAGGGGTTAAAGAAGATGTTTGGACAGAGCATGGTCGAGATAGGGAACGAGGTCCATAGCTTTGTTGCTGATGATAAACTTCACCCGGAGTGTGAGAAGATTTATAAACTACTAGGACAATTGGAGGTGATAATGAGATTGCAACTAGATCATACTTATGGAATTTCTGGAGCTCGATCAAATTTTATGATAACCTGAACTCATCGACCGTCATGATATCTGCTTGATGTTAGCCTACCAGCAACATTGTAAGAAGAAATTGATCTTAAAATTTTGCCATATTAATCTTCATTTTGCCATAAAACCAAATGTATAAAAAAGAAAAAGAACATCTTATATTGATCTTCATTTTGCCATAATACCCAGCTTTGTTTCATTTACTATTTCTTTATGCATTCCTGCAGGTTCATGAATTATCAGTCAAAGTAGATAACAAAAACACTGTAGACTAGCCTACTTCTTCGGGACATCCGATAAAATTGGAATGACATGGAGAAAATTAGCAGGCCTCTATGTCACCAACCAAGACTTAAACCCTAAGTTCACGCAGCTCGAGAATATGAGAATGGACTCTTTCGACGGGCACAAGGATGATAACGCACAAATAAAAGAATAGTCTAAATTTTTAAAAAGCAAAAAAGCATTGTGGGCTATCCTATAAAAAAAAAATCATTAAAGCGTGTAGGAGTAGGGCCAAATTTTAACAGACCCAACCTTTCTTTCATTCAATCCAAACCCTTTTTAAGATTGGGGAAGGGGAAAATGCAAAAATTATTGGGCCTTAACATCTAAGTTCGATATAATTTCTACAAGACGTAAGTTTAAAAGGGTTAATTTTCTAGCATTATCAGCCAAAAGATAGCTAAAAAAAAATTCCATTGAATCCTTATAATTAATGAATTACTTCTTTATGCAAATAGGCCTGTTCTGGTTTGAATCCAAGGAGATCGATATCCTAGCAACCCTACTACAAAAATTGTCAGTTTCCCTGTGTTTTCTTTACCCTATCTTGGAAGACAGCTAAAATATAGGTCTGCCTGTTAAGGACGAGGTTTTCCACCATATAGCTTTAGCCTTTAAGCATTAACCCCAAATTAATTTGCCCATTAATGTGAAAATTGAGGCTGATTTTATTATTATTATTATTATTATTATTTAAAGAAAAGAGGTCTGAATTTTTTTTAATAAAAAATTTGTAACTTGAAAAAAAAAAATACTTGTGTTGAAATTTTGTTTTTTAATAAAAATACTACGTCCAATTGAGGATGGTCTTGTAGTTAGATTGCTCAAAAACTTGATTCCCTGAATTTGAAGGCACCAGGCCTCTTCAATCAAGTGTGATTGCTTTTCCTTCTTCCAACGTTTTCGAATATTAAAATTTTATCTTATAACACATGTATCAACCCATGTGATTCAGGTTGAACATGTAATTCAACATTGAGATCTCAGCATTTTATTTTTCTAAAAATTTCTAGAATCCTAGGAAATAGTAAAGAAAATAGCTTGTTCTCTGAACATGTATCATCTTTTGATAACGTGTGACCTCATCAAAAACATTGAAAATCAATGTGTTCATTGATTCAGGTCAGCACTAAGCCCTGTTAATTGCATGTTGGCTGCTACGGAATCAAGCATTTTACACTATTAATTTCTTAAATATAAGTCAAAGTAAATGAAAGTTAATTTTTTTTTTTACGAAATCATATTTGTGTCGTATTTTTATATCGTATTTTAAAATTTTAAATTTATATTTCAATCTAATAATTTATATTCTTTTACAAAAACAAGTTTATATGAGGGGAAGTATCCTATTACAAAGACATAGCATATTATAAATTTCAACAAACATTTATATTAAATTTACATGTTATTCATTAAAAAAATTAATAATAGCAAATATCAAATTTAAATATTATAAATGAATCGATGACTAGATCTAATAATAATTCATCAAAACAAGATATATATATATATGTATAATTAATAACATAATTACTAACATCTATTGATTCGAGTGATAAAGAATTCAATTTTCCTTAAATAAGATTTCAATTTTAAATCTTATGAATGAAAAAAAATAAATTTTGGATGATTTGCTTCTTTTATAAAATTTAACTCGATTTGACTTCAAATTAATCAGAATTTAAAGTGATTATCGGATATCAAAATCTCAAATCAAAAAAATTAATAACAAAGTTATCAATAATTGGATTCTAACTTTAATAAAAAGTGTAAACAGATTCTTTGACAAAATACTGCAATTACAATGAATTAGCGTATTGATCGAATCGTTGGAAACAAAATTTATATTTTACGCAACTACGTATAGTACAGTTTCTGTCACCTTCAAACAGGTTGAAAACATCAAGGAGATATCGTTTTTAAAAGGGCTTGCACATGATTCTTGGTTTGATCTTTTAGCTTCTATAAAAAAAAAAAATTTATCATATGTATTAATATCATTATCTTTTTTTGCTTTCAACTTTTTAACAAGAAAAGTTTGGCACAAAATTAACATTAAGAAGACATCATTTTTAAAGGCTTGCACATGTTAGGGTTTATCGTAGACTAGGCTAGACTAGTTTAAAGGTTATGATAGAATATTTTAATGAAAATTTATAAGAATTTGAAGGATAAATTTATCAAAACTATGAATTTTCTTCTTTTTTTTTTTTCTTCTTTTTTATAAAGAGAAGTCAAAATTTAGAAATAAAAAATACGAAATTCGAAGAGTTGGGGATTGAATTTCAACATTAACCTTACAATAATTCACCTAATCGTAAGAAAAGTGAATAAATCATTTAAATTAAACTTCGAATTGAATATTAAAAATTTTCAAAACCTAAGCTATTAATATTTTGGTGGTTTTGACTTATATAATAATGTTCCTCCATTTTTGGCTCTTGAAAGTATAGTCTTTTGGCACTTATTCTTGTGTCACTAAATCAAACTTTTAAAAGTATGGAATCAGGTGAAAGGAATGAGATTTATCATATGTAAAAGAACTACCTCATTATATATATAAATGTGCTCAGACAAGTAGTAATTAAGCTTATTCTACCATCACTTGACCTTGTAAAAGCTTTTGTTTGCAACTTGAGATAATTGGGTTCTTCAATTGGTTTGTGTGTGTAATTTTTTTTTTCTTTCAATCACATGCATTCATGTTGCTTATTGCTTATGAATTAAGGATGTTTTAATTAAGGATGTTTTACTTCAGATCAATTATTCTTATATCCACATTAAATAGAACCTCCCACGAGATGTCAGGTCAGGTGCTACCATGTGCGGCCGCAGCAGTTGAAAGCTCAACTCCGCCGTAGGATGACGCCAGAGACACCCAACAATAGCTTCCACTTCGCAGTTCGGTCATATATCATTGCAATATGCCTGTTTCGGATAACTGCCCCAACAATCTATTAACAATCCGTTGCATCGTTTTAGAAAATTAATTATTTCAAGTTTAAATTATTTTGAATTCAATTTTAATATTCAATCCATGTTTTAATTCAAATGAATTTCATTGATGTTTAAATATGGGTTTTGAGTGATTTTAAATAATTTCATTTGAATGGTTAAAAATTCAAGTCGTCAATAGTTTTAGTAAGCCACTTGCAAATTATTAGGACATGGAAAATTCTAATTGGAGATTATTGGGTTATTTTTGTTTTTTTGAAAGATAAATCACACTTTTTGTTTTGTCATTGTCTAATAACTTTTATACAAACATGCCACTATTCTTAAACTTTCTCTAAGAAAACAAAAAAAAAAATTGACACTTTCAAGCAACAAAATGAAAGCACATAGCTTGAATTGATGTTTGATGAGATAGAGGTATGGGCTGTGGGGGCCTTGTCTCAAAGTCATAGCAATAAGCAAAGCAATCAGATTATAGATATCACTCATAGGTGTTTTATTTAATAATTTTATTTTGTTTTTTATGTATTTTTTTTTAAAAGAGTTGTTGTTACTTGTAGAGATGTGTATGGATATGGTAGAATATTTGTATCTTTTTTTAAGATTTTAAAATTATATTTATTTTTGTATTCATACTTAACGAGTATTTTAAATTTATTCATATTTTTATTTCAACGATTATTTAATGAATATAGATAATTTTTATATTTACAATTTTTTTTAAAAAATTAAAAACTAAATTTTTTTTAGTATTTTTTATTTTTATTCTTATATATTTAGATAATTTGTTTTATAAATATATATTAATATATATTTTTAATAAAATATATTAGTTTTAATTAATTTAAAATAAAAAATTATATTATTTAATAAAAATCTATATACTAAATATATATAAATATATATGTTGGGTATGAGTATAAGAATATGCTATATTACACATTCTCATCCCCGTATTCAATAAAAATTTAAAATCATATCCATATCAACCTCATACGTACAATATATTACCCATTCACATTTTTATTCTGATAAAAAATTAAATTTTTCATTGGTTACAGGTAAAATTGACATCCCTAATCATCAATTTAGTAAAAAGTTTTATATATAATATATAACTATATATTTTTGTCACACCTATAATATGAGTGCAAAAATAATAAAAATTATGTTTTGAAGATTAAAAAAAAGTTTTTATGTATTTTTTAGTTAATATTTAATATACTGTCAATATAATTTTTTAATTATAAGGATTGTTAAGAAAAAATAATTATATGATAAGTGGGTAATATCTTCTAAACATGCATAAAAAAATATTTTATAAGTAAAACACTATTGTAAGGGAATTTCTTTTCAAATTATTTTATCAAATATAAAATTAAAAATATTAATGTCTTTCTATTATTGTGAAAAAAAAAAAAAAAAAAAGGAAAACTACCCAATCGCTTTTTTTAAAACATTTTATTTTTCCAAAACAACTTTTTACTCATAATTTTATCTTCACCTACATAATGAATGTGTCGAAATCTAATATATTTTAAAAAGTTAAATGTTATAGTTTTTTAAAAACATATTTTAATAAAAAAAAGAAATACATATATCCTTCATTTTATGTTTTATTATTATTATTATGGAAAGTCTTATTTTTTAATACGAAAAAAAAAAAGTGAGAGAAGATTACTCCATTTCAGAATTAAAACATATCGCATGTCTTAATAAGGATCTACATTTAAATTTATAAATCATTCTTATATTGTTAATAAAAAAAAATCGAATCTAAATCTTATAAGTAAAATATTTGATTTTTATCGATTAATTAATCTCATTGACATAAAAAATATTATTATATATATATCAATAAAAACTTAAAAGGAAGAGTATGGGATTTTAGTAAGTTGGTAAGGAGAGGTAGAACTTTCAGAAATTAAATAATGAAGTCAAAAGATATGTGTTTTTTTTTTTTTTTTTATAATTATGTGTTTATAAATTATTTATAATTACTTAAAATAATTTTCAACTGCATTATAATTCAGTTACCTCATATTATTCAGAAGAAGAATAAAGTTAAATGCAGAAATTTATACATAGAAAATATTATAATAATATTCTCAGTCAAGCAAACTCGTTGGCTGATGGTTTGGTCAAAGCTGAGATTTAATCACTATTTGTCGAGTTTTTTTTTCTTTTTTGTATTTTTAATTTTGTTTAATATGTCTAATTAATTAGTGGATTGAAACAAAAGGAACAAAAGGTTTTCTGAAAATCAAAG